TCTCTGTTCTCTCCTCAGAGATGTTCAGGGCTCTGTATCTGTAGATCGACTGCAAGCTGTGCAGATTCACGGCGCAGATCTGAAGAGGAGATCAGAGCGGTGCAGACGGAGCTGGTAAAGGTTTACAGGGTGATATTTTTGTGTTTCTGCTCCACACCAGACCTCTGAGTGTGATGGACGGCAGTCCGCCTCCTCCACCAGACACACTGCCAAGGCTTCTGTTGCACCGTTTAGTCAAAGCTTCACAGCACTATATGATGCAGTCTCTCAGGAAGTGACATCATCAGTTCAGTGATAAATCACACTAAGTTCAGCCATGACATGAGTAGGCCTGTCGCAATAAATCAATTAATCGCATGATAAATGAAAATTGTCAACCTCATTTTCATTTATCGGCTTTATCGTTTCTTTGTGTCTCTCTCTTTCTACTGAAGACACTGGATGACAAAAGGCTCAACTCCGGTGCTCTTCACTGACCCCTCCCTTTCTCTTTTTTCTTTAAAATTGTTTGAACCATCCAAAATCGTGTTTTTGGATCATTAAAAGCAGCTAAGCTGAGAAGCTAAGCTACGAGCTAAGCTAGCAGGCCGACCTCAGGGAGGAAAAACCTCCGTCTTGTCAAAGCTCCAAAGTTCACGGTTGAAACCCGTGCCTTCGTCTAAAAAGTTGTTTTTCTCTGCAAAAAGAAGCTGAGAACTTTACTGATATTTTTTTAAAAGGTTTGTGTGACAGATGCTATGCTAAAGAGCTCAAACCACACCGAGCGTTTGCCATTTTGAGAACCGAAAAACAGGAAAGCGAGACAGCCCATGTCATGTCAAGGGGCCTCCCTCCCATTTTTCTTAAAGAGACGCGCTGCTCGCTCCCTCACTATCCATCCTTCGGTTCAAACTGTCTTATACTACCATCCAGTGGTCAAAAAAAGGTAAAGGTACTATATGCAAAAATTAACCAACATTTCTTAAATTTGACAATAATTACCAATTATTGTAAAATTTCAAACAATACTATCGTTTATCGCAATAATTTCTGAGACAATTAGTCGCCCAGCAAAATTTGTTATTGTGACAGGCCTAGACATGAGTGCCAGTTTGTTGCTTTTTTAAAGCCTTGATTCTTGAGCTCGTCTGTTTTTTCACTGCTCTGGAGATGGAGACTAGAAAATATGATCTATTTCTCTCCGGTAATGTGACTCGATCAGTCTGTTGGTCATGTGAATTTACAGTATTGACACATCTTTGTCGGCACCGAGTTGCTGCTCCATTTCCTCTGCTTGTTCACGGAGCAGTGTACACAAGCCGAGCTATGGGTCGGGACTGCATTGATTGAAAGTGAGATTAGCGTGCGCTGCCTGCCGGAGGACAGATGGTTCAGGTCCTGATTGTGTGGTCACAGCAGAGTAAATGATCACATCTTTTGAATGCTCCACAGACTGTGATGAATCCACCAGGAGTGGCTGAAACCAACTCCAAACACATTTTCATGCTGACTTTTGATCTTCTAGGTTGTCTCAAATGAAATATCTTGAAAATGCCTTGAGCTGATTCCTCCATCTTTGGCAGAAAGGTTAATTTAGTTTAAAGGATTTTTTTATTTTTATTTCAGTGATGTAAGTCAAAGCAAGTGTAACCTTGTCCTGGTTTTTTGTGATTGTCTCAAGAAAAGCAGCAGAATTTCACTAAATTTGTCACAAAGTAATAATCTGATCTGTTTTTGTGTAAATGTTAACGTTACCACACAAATCTGAAGTGCTGGTAGGTAAATAAAGTCTGCTCATGGCTCAGTCTGGAGCGATGGAGCTCTGCTGAATCAAACAGCAGCCGAAAATAAGAAAAGCAAGAAAACAGCTTCAGCTTTTTGTATTTGTATGGGGTTGTTTGAGCTAAGACACTGATTGCTAGAAATGTTGCTCTCAATAAAATGTACCTTAGTCATGTGTGTTTAAAGTAAATTGCTATTATAAAACTTAGAGGTGCCAAATTGTTTTATATTATGACAGTTTTTTTTTTTTTTTGAGGAGACACTCAAAGCATCTTTGTTGTTTTCAAAACATTCCAGGAGGAGTTGAGATAAGTCCGGCGTCAAGGCCACAGTTTGGGTCAGGCAGAACTTGTGAATTGTTGTTTCTGACTTTTAAAGTCTCACTGGTATTTATTCCTCTGATGGAACTCCAAAAACAGCCGAATTGATTCTTTACGCCAAAAGTCGTGTTCACAGCTTCTCCAAGATTATTCCCACCATTCATGAGTGCTGCCAGTGAGTTCACAGTCCTGATAACAGCTGCTCCAGCTCCCTGCTGCAGCTCCACAAATTCAGTCTGAGCACTGTCGAGCTTCGACACATCCACACAAATTTATTGACAATCCAGATTTCACCAGCCAAACAGCAAAATAACCAGTTGTCATCATGAATCCAATTTGTTTCCGTCGAGATAAGAGGGTCCTCCTTACCCTGACTCCTGTCGGGAGAAGTTGATCAATTTTGTTGAGAGACCATCTGATCCTTCGAATTAAGAGGTATGCAGAAAAAAAAGAGGCTTTTTAAGGGTTCACAGGACAAAAGAGTGCAGCAGGGAAGCGGGTGTGGGTGTGGGGGTGTGTGTGTTGGGGGGGGGGGGGGGGGGGCGCTGGGGACAGGGAAACACGTCTGGTTCCACCGGAGGAAAGAGAGAAAAATAAAATTCCCAGACCAGCCAAGAGACATAGTCTCCCTAGCATGTCCTGGGTCTTCCCCGGGTTCTTCTCCCAGTTGGACATGCCTGAAGCACCGGAGACACCCAGGGAGCATCCTCACCTGATGCCCGAACCATCTCAATTGGCTCCTCTCGATGTGGAGGAGCAACGGTTCTACTCTGAGTCTCTCCCAGATGACTGAACTTCTTGCCCTATCCCTATGGGAGAGTCCGGCTACCCTGCGGAGGAAACTCATTTCAACCGCCTGTATCTGCAATCTCATTCTTTCAGTCACTACCCAGAGTTCATCGCCATTGGTGAGGGTAGGAACATAGACCGACTGGTAAACAGAGAATTTCGCCTTACAGCTCAGTTCCCTCTTCACCACAACGGTTGCAAAGTCTGCAATACTGCAGACACTGCACCACTTCGTCTGTCAATTTCATGCTCCATTCTTCCCTCAGTCGTGAACAAAACTCTGAGATTGTTGGACTCCTTCACTTGAGGCAGAACCTCACCCTCAACCTGAAAAGAGCAACCCACCTTTTCCAGTTGAGGACCCATGGCCTCAGATTTGGAGGTGCTGATTTTCATCCCAGCTGCTTCACACTCGGCTGCAAACAGCTCCAGTGAGAGCTGAAGATCCCGGCACGATGATGCCAACAGGACCACATCATCTGCACAGAGCAGACGAAATCCTGAGGCCACCGAACTGGACCCCCTCCGCCTTCTGGCTGCACCGAGAAATTCTGTCCATAAAAGTTATGATGATGATAATAATAATAATGTGTTATGTGTTGTCATCATTATATGTTCCCATACAATGGTAAAATTGGCTCTCTGTATTTAACCTATATACCACCAAGTGGAGCAGTGGGCAGCTACGGAAAGCACCCGGGGAGCAACTAGGGATAAGGTGTCCTGCTCAGAGACACCATGAGATGTGCAATAACCAGGGATCAAACCCGGGACCTTCGGGTCCTGAGTCGGCTGCCCTGCCCCTACACCATCTCTGCCACCATGAACAGAATCAGTGACAACGGGCAGCCCTGGTGGAGTCCAACTCCCTCCCTGAAGTGGTCCGACTTACTACCGGCAATGCGAACCAAACTCACACCGCTTGTATAGGGACCGAACAGCCCATAACAATGGGCCTCCAATCCAATACTCACAGAGCACCCCCCACAGCATACCTCAAAGAACACGGTCGAAAGTCTTCTCCAAAAGCATTAAACACATGTAGACAGATGGGCAAACTCCCATGACCCCTCGAGGACCCTAGTGAGGGTAAAGAGCTGATCCAGTGTTCCACGGCCAGGACGGGACCCACATTGTTCCTCCTGGATCTGAGGTTCGACCAACGATCTGACTCGCTTCTCCAGTACTCCTGAATAGACCTTACCAGGGAGGCTAAGGAGAGTGATGCCCCTGTAATTGGAGCACACCCTCCGGCTCCGAGGGGAATCACCACCCCAGTCTGCCAATCCAGTGGCACTGCCCCTGATGTCCACACGATGTTGAAAAGGCATGTCAACCAAGACAGCCCCACAACATTCAGAGCCTTAAGGAAATCGGGGTGAATCTCATCCACCCCAGGAGACCTGCCACCTCAGAGCTTTTTAACTAACTTGGCAACCTCAGCTACAGTTATAGACAGACCAACCCCGAAGTCCCCCGAGTCAGCTTCCTCCATGGAAGACGTGCTGGTGAGATTGAGAAGTATTCCTTCCACCTCCCGACAACATCACTGGTTGAGGTCAACAGTGCCCATCTTCACTGAAAACAGTAAAGCTCTGTTTTCTCCTCTTAAGATTTAAATTATTTGAAGTCAAAATGCTCCTCTGCCGCTTTAACTCAGACAACTCATGTGTAAATGTCAACCTGACAGATAATAAATGGAGTTCATCTGGAGTGTCTCTGCCTTTTTTTAAAGACCCTGTAGTGTATTTGTTCCCTGAACCATTTCTGCTTGTATTTCTGGGACAAAGCAGCCCTCAGCTCAGTCAGCACTAATGGACCATGGTGCTTATTAGACTGCTGTTTACAAATGCTAATCACACTTAAAGAAAGAGGTACCTGGTGATTAAAAAGGAGCCAGAGTGAGCAAATTTACACTTGTTGGTAATTTACTCATTTATTCCATTTATTGAAATGCAAAACCACTGAGTTATTCTGGGGTTTTGTAAATACAGACAATGATAGAAAAAAAGAATAACGAACACAAGTTGGGCACATTTTGCCAAAAGGTTGACTAAAAGGACGTCAAATCTTCACATTTTAAGAGTAAATAAGTTAAACTGAGCACCTTTCTCCTGTCTTGTCTGTCAGATATGATGCGGTCCTGATGGCGCAGTCAGAGCCGTTTGAAATGAGGGTGTCCCCTGCTGAGGCACAGCCCGTGGAGTTGGGTGCCATGAGTTTCCTGGAGACGTTCGGGGAGGAGAACAGCACGGCGGAGCGATGCTTCCACGCGCACTCTCGCAGCAGCGTCCTCCAGGGTCTGCCATTCGGTGGAGTGCCCACAGTCCTTTTCATAAACGTGCTGCTTTGGATGGTACACACTCACACACACACAATATAAAGTCTGCAAACGAGTTTGAACAGTGGCCGCATTTTCTTGTTCTCGACCTTTAGGGCCTGCGCCTTGTACATGTTTTTAAGCTCCAACACAAATAATTCACGTAACTGAGGTCTTTTCAAACCCCTGTATCGCTTAATGAAGACCTATTAAAGTCTGCAGTGCTTGGTCCACAACTCAAACATTCACTGTTGTATGTTATTAAAGAAAAATGGAATTCACATTATTTGCTTCTGAGAAATTTTGGGTTCTTTGCAGATAACATTGTGATCTGTGGTGAGAACAGAGAGCAAGTGGAAAACTTAGAGAGGTGGAGGTATGCAGTTGAATGAAGAAGAATGAAAATAAGCAGTAGTAAGACCGAGTATGTGTGTGTGTGAATGAGAGGAGGCTGGTGGAACAGTGAGGATACAAGGAGTAGAGGTCCCAAAGGTGCAGGACTTCAAGTACTTGGGGTCCACTGTCCAGGAAAATGGGGAATGTGGTAAAGAGGTGAAAAAGAGAGTCCAGGCAGGATGGAGGAGGATGACTTGCTGAAAAGGGAAAAGACGAAAAAAGAATAAAGTTTTTTTGGTACAGCTTTTCTCATTTTACATTTTCCTGGCCTGAACTGATGTTGAGTCAGTCGTTGGTTTTATTCAATCTCCCTCAGGATTCAAACTAAGAACTGTCATTGCCAGCTGGAGTCTAGCAAACATAACGGGGAAATAACCAGCTGCAGGTTGGTGCAGTGAGGCAACAGCAAGGTTTCTAAATATATTCAAGCGGCCAACACCTTGTTGAGACATTAGCAAAAGCCCAGAACAGAGATTTAAGTTTGGAAAAATATTGTAGAGCATCTTAGAAGATGGAACGTCACTAATATAAAAAAAAAACAAAGATGAACAGCAGCCTCAGTGTTGGACATAAGGTAGAAATATGATTATCTGCGTCATTCTGTGCATTACAACCTGTCGACATATGTTCATGTTGATAAGTTTATACGATTACCTTCCTACACGTGCCTGTTTGTGTGAAGTTTTACACCAAACTGATGTTTCCACTCTGACACATTTCTTAAAGATGCTAAATAAAGTCGGAGATTTCCTCAGGATTAATAAAAGGTGCAAAGGCACACTTTGTAAAGCAACAAGCAGTCAAAGAATGAGGGCTCTTCATCAACACTGCAGAGGGAAGCTGGTGCCATTTGTGGGCTGGGACTGGTCTGCAGACCCTGCTAAGACATGGTACAAGCATAAAACTACCCTCCATGTCGGTGCCAGGGTGCATGTTTCTCCAACAGAACATGCAACAAGATGAGAAGTGTTACAGGAATGCTGGGCGTTTATAACGTTGAATTTGAAATTGTTTTCTTTTAGAAAAGTCTCCCACGTTTTAAAGCGAGCCATTATTATGGAGGGATTTTTGTCCCATCCTGATGATCTTGGCTCCATAATTATAATCCAAAACAAAACGTATCATGTTCATGTCACGTTAAATATCTTCTGCGGAGCCTGTTCTGTTTGCAAACACAGATCTCCGTTTCTGCGGAAGCCTTCCAGATAATAATAGGCTTCTCCTTCCAGCTGTCAGCCACTCTCGGCTCCTCCATCAGGCTTCGCGTCGCTCTCGATCTGCCACCTCCATCTTCTAATTGGCCCACTTCAGGACTTCTGGGTTGTCAAGCCAACACGGAAGGGGTTTCAGCACCATCTCCTAATGACAAGCGCGAGTCAAAGCGTGCTTCCCTTCAGGTGACGGGGAGCACGCCTCCACCATAACTCCCATCATCAGCGAATTAATAACAGATGTGTGGGGTTGGGTGGAGGTGGGGAGGGCACGGGCGTGTACAACGGCAGGGAGCACCAAGAAAACACCGGAGCCAAACGTTAGCTCGTTACTCATCCAGTCGATCTGCGTGTTCACAGCTTTAATGATGAATCATTTAACGTTTCTGCCATGAACACATCTGTCACCAGCAGCTAATGATTAAACGCTGCCGTTAAAATCAAGCGCTCATCGGCTCAACATGTTCCCTCGTGGACGTTTTGTAGAGGGTGTTCAGCTCTCCCTCCGTTTGTTGCCAAACAAGCCTTTCAGGTTTATTTTTACACTCGACCGCTCTCTGATTTGACATTACTGCATGGCATGTCTTCATGTGTGCAAGCTGACCTGTGATGGTTTCCAAGACAACCACATAGGAAGAAACAGCACGGCCTGTTGTTTGCTGCTGCGTTTGTTTTTGTCTATTGTTCATCAACTCTTTCTGGAGAATTTGGAAACAAGAAAAGCAATCCAAGTACCGTATTTTCTGCCACACAAGTTGCTCTGGCGTATAAGTCGCATCAGTCCAAAAAATGTCTAATAAAGTGGAAAAAACATAAATAAATAAGTAGCTTCACTGTATAATCGCATCTATTATGCGTCGCCACTGATGCGTAATGTTTGTTCGTCACGGGGGAGTGGTGGTGCAGAGGTTAGAGAAGATGGGCCTGTGATCGGAAAGTCGCAGGGTCAACTCCCAATACTGTCAACATAAAAAAATGTGGGTGGAAAAGGTGAAACACCCACACCTGCCTCCACCCTCATCTGCCCCACTCTGAGCCCCTGAGCGTGGTGAAATGCAGCTGATTTGACGTTTGCTCCAGGAGTTCTGGAGCGAGACGAAGGTGGGCTCTGTGGCAAGCAAAGTGTCTCATTAATAGCCACTTTTACCTATTAATGAGACACTTGGCTTGCCATAATGCTTGAGCACCCTCTAGCAGCTGCAAATGCTAATGTTTAATATTTTTCATGCCAGAATTAATCTAATCGTCAGATCTCAACCAAAAATTGGGTAATAAATATGCGGGAAAAACGTATATTAGTCGCTTCGGTGTATAAGTAGCAGGACTTGCTAATTTATGCAAAAAGGTGCGACTTATATGCCAAAAAATACGGTACATGAAGACGTTAAGTAGTGTCTGCTTTTGTAGATAAAATTCTGAGATCATGTTGTGTGTGTGTGTGTGTGTGTGTGTGTGTGTTTGTGTGTG